AAGCCGACCAGTCCTCGATGTACCCATTAATGCAGAGTGCCAGGCAGGGACCAACAAGTACCATATTTTAACGTCTTTTGGTACAACACTCTCCGGGTGGATGCTCTAACCACAACACCATGGAGGAGGACTTCAACAATATTCCAGCAATATCACGCCAGGGAGTCTGAGTGAACCAGGTTTAAGGGGTATGGTTGTGACAAACCCAGACACATAACAGGGGCAAACTGGGACTTGCAACTCTACACAGCGGATTGTAAACCAAAAGTCACTGTGTTCTTTAATCTGATTGGTTGAAAAACGTGATCAAATGGTATTCGATTCCCAGAAATTTGCTGCGTATTAATACATACAAACATCGCTCACACTATTGTGTTGTTACGTCGTCAGCTGTGATGACATCATTAAAATCATATTGTGACGTAAAGTCCGAATGACGTCACAAATGGCCAGTTCCAGATGCTACCATGGGAGAGAGCCGAAACGGCCGGCTGATGACATTTCACTGCTGTACCCGTACTCGATGTCAATGAGTGCAGACACAAAAACGTGTGTAGACCTTTTGGTTTACTTTTGTGTTTACAATGTCGATAAACATCATGTGTTGGCCAATTTCGGGGTGTTATTGAGTATTTGAAGCGCGGGAATATTTCATTTGAAACCTCCAGCTGACACCGTCGGTTCCAAATGAATTCCCGTGCTTCAAATACTCAATAACACCCGGAAATTGGCCAACACATGATGTTTATCTCCTAATTACAGCACCTTAGACAACTTCATCACCTTTCCTCCAAATATCAAATTAACTGAAAACCTACATATAAGCAAATCTTCTATTATGCCTTAGTTTTAATTGTCACATTGCTTTCTTGCTTGTTGGTTTAACAGCAAGTTCTTTTACAAGCTGATCTTGGTGAACATTTTAGTTTCAACTTAGGAATCAACATGTAACAGTATGTAAGAGCAGACAGCAACAGACAAATCCAACATGGGGTAAGTGGAGACATTTTGACATCTGCCAGCTGAAATAAGTCAACTTAGAACTGGATGGTGCCAGGAGGGAGCCCATCTTGGAATGATCCTGCAGATGATTGGTAGCCTTCAGTCATGACTTGCATTAAATTCTGGCATCCTGAAACTCATACCACGTGGTGAATCGAACCCAGGTTTTCGGGATGACGAGCAAACATTTTAACCAGTAGGCAGTCACCCTCCCGACTGGAAGTTAAAGTGAGTGAGTATGGTTTTACGCTGCTTTTAGCAATGTTGCAGCAATATCATGGGGACACAAGAAATGGGTTTCACACATTGTACCTATGTGGAGAATTGAGCCGGGAATTTCGGCCTGACAAGTGAACGCTTTAAGCACTAGGCTACCCCACCACCCCTCCCCTAAGATTCAGACTCAGTACATTCTATTGTAACATCTAAGAACATCATTCCATCCATTTACAAAAATCAATTTCAGATTTCTGAAAAGATAACTCCGATGTGAGGATGCCCTCTACAGCTGTGAACAACCAAGCTGATGCAACACACAACAGTAATCAATGAATTGGGAGTGTCTCGTCAGTTATTGGTGCTTATATAACTAGTTTTGTAACTTAGCTCAAGGTCTTTTATTCTATACAATCTGGGATTGTTTCATGTTATGGAGTGCACAATATACAAAAACATAATGTCCATAAGTGTAAGGCATTGAAGGACAATCACCAACTGAAGTTTCGTTTTTTTTAGGCTGGTGAGTGAGTTTGGTTAATGCAGATATGAACAATATTCAATTCATATCAAATCTCAGCTTATATATATACATAAAGCAGTGCATTAATGTATGACATACGTAGATTAGATTGATGGTCATACTGTGGATCACTGGATTGTCTGGTCCAGACTTGATTATTTACAGGCTGCCGCCATATAGCTGGAATATTGCTGAGTGCGACGTAAAACTAAATTCACTCACTATCTGGAATGAGTAAGTGAGAAAATGTGGTAAAGCATCTTTGAATAGTATTTGTCATATATCTGATCAAATTAATGCAGAAGAAAGCACAAAGATCTCAGACATTGACAACTTTGGTGAAAACCAAGCATGGCAGGGCATAGTATGGACAAACCAAGATACCTAATTGGCCTGGACCAGGATTCCTACACAGAATATCATGGCAAGAGTGTTATTTGGATGGAAGTATGTATCCCACCAGTTGGTATCAATACTTCAGCACTGTTTGTACTGATTATATACTGCAAGACCAAACTGCTCCATTACTGAGAGACAACTAAAATCTGTAAACTATGTATGACAAGTGAATGAATGAAATGTTTCTCTTTCTCTCTCTATATATATCCTCTTCTTTCACACATCATTAACTAGTAGAAATAAACCAGGTAGAATAAGGACCATTTTTGACCCCTGGAAATATCAAATTTTGAAGTACATTTGCAATGGTGGTAGTACTATATTCCAACATGTTCAAAAGTGTTGACGAGTCGCCCTTTTTTTTCACAGGAAGTTTTGGGGCTTTTCTCATGTTCAAGTACACAAGAATGACTAAAATGAATTTAAAAAAAAAAGAAGACAATTTTTAAAATTTCAGGTGAAAATCTATCAACAGGAAAGTGCATGACCCAAGATGACTTTTTTCCAAACACAGGGTTTCACCTCGACTCACAAACATTTAGTTTAAGGGTTTCCTGCAAGCAATATGAGGGTCCTGTTAAGTAACAATGCAGAGAACTGTACCGGTAGGTTTTCATAATTTCTGGAATGAATCATTGATCATATGGACTGGTAGATGAAATGATGCTCTGAAAGAAACAACCGAACATTTAACAAAGTCACAGATGTGTTCTCAGTACAATGAATCATAATGTGCTTCAGAATTATTTCTTTTCTCATTCTCTACATTTGTGTGTACTAGACGTAGATATGCGGGTCGCGTAAAACCCTGCATATGTTAATGCTACAACTGCTGATTTATAATGCACTGTACTGCATACAATTACGCATTCTAAATGCAGACGTGTATTTACAGTTACGGTTGAGTTAACTTCAGAGCCTGTGATCATGTTTATCTGAGAAACATTTCGACTAGTCTCGGATGGATAGAGGGTATAATTATCTCATGTAGCATTGTCTGTGTAGCATTTCCACCTAAAGACTTGCACTGTACTTAATCTCAGAGTTAGTAAGCTTAGTCTGTTGGGAAACATGCACCTTCATCACACCCTGACCGTTTTTGAGAAAACAGATTTTCCCTGTATAGATCAGTTGCTTCATGTCTACCTTTGATGGTTTGTTATAGCTTAATCAATACTGGGGTACTCAAGCCAAAAAATAACAGATGCTTTGTCACTATTGTATTCTTATATTGAGAAATGTGAAAAAGAAAGAAGACAAGAGTGTTTCATTCATAATATCCCAAATAACCTAACCAAATAACCCAGTAACCTGAGATTTTGTTGTTGCTGTGGCATGTATCACACATAAAAAGGTTATTCAGGTGTGGAAATAACTTTAAAATTGCTAGTGTACTCTGGTACAGCGGCACATGTAAAATCACTTGCCCTGATAATCTTTCCACTATACCGGCCGTTTTCTTGTTGATTTTTTAAATAAACAACATAATTAATATTGGAAAGTCAACTGGACACCGGTACAGTGTGATATACAAATTTGCTTGCCCGACAGAAAAAAACACTGGACTCGGGCGTCGGGCAATGGGTTATTTCCACCCCTGTTATTCAGATGGGAGAGCTGAAATTAATACATGTTCAGTGTTATTATAGCACGGAAACAACAATTTAATTCATTAATAATCTACATATATTCTGTACAAAGTACCTTAAATAATGTACAATAAGTATAAGATGACAAAATCCACAAAAAAAAAAAACCAAAAAAGACAGAAAAATTACAAGCACAGGGTAAACTGTACATGTAAACCATGTTTTAATTCACAGCATACATTTTTCACCAAGCAGCTATTTTTATGCTCAGGTTTTATGTTTATTCTATTAGATGGGGATGGTTAAAATAAAAACAACAAATGTATTTGTTCATAGAAGTATCTTCTGGCTTACCACCCAAACTGTTTTGGATGGTCAGTTGTAGTGGTGGTCCGATTAATTGAAATAATCGAAGATTGGTCGTAGTGACTAAACGACCAAGCAATCAATCGTGTTTTTTAATAATCAAACACAAACAATTCTGGAACACTTGTTTCATTAACAATATTTTTCACAAGGTTGGTTTTGTCTGTTACATTTTATAAGCACTACACGCTCGTTTCAAGTCATGATTGAATTTATCTTAAAGACTCCAAGAAATTTATGTTCCTAACATACTATTCATCCTTTAAAGATGTGAAATTTTGCACACACAAAACCCCCAAAAGAACTACATGTTTTCTTTCCTTATTTTTTTCTTTGCATTATCAAAGGACAAGGTATGATAAAGGCCCTTATTGGCCCACAAAAGTTCATGATATTCAAAGTTCTACAACAGGATAATTTTAGCATCAAGAAGGCTAAATAAATTGTTGAAATTACCTCCAATGGCTTTTTTTTATGTTTTAGTGCTGTTTTTCTTCTTCTTCAAAGTTATATTTTAATATATCTTCTAAAAACCTACATTTTCTTATTTTCAGAGTGAAAAAATAGTGTGAGCAAAAGCATGACCCATCCCAATTTTTTCACCACACATGAAGAGAGTAAATTAGAATGCACACCTAAAAAGTTGTGGTGGCTCACGCTTTTGCTCATATCAAAATGTTTAAAAAAGTACATTTTTTCTGTTATATGAAATTGCCCCATACAACATCTCAAAAATAAACATTGGCGTAAAGTAATATCTCTGAAAGCTATCCATCACATTTACACAACTATACCATTATTCATTATTATTTTGAATTTTTAGTGCATTAAATCAACTTATCAAACATGTTTATAATTCAAACATTTTCAATATCATAAGGGACTCTCAAGGCTGATTACTTTGAGGTAAACAAGGGTAGTTTTTTTGACACCCTGTTGATCTCTGCTGGAAAAGTAAGAAGACATCAGAAGATTTTTCAAAATATGATCAGGCAGCATTCTAAAGGTGAGAATCTGTGTAATTATTCTAGAATTTTATCATATTTGTTTTATCACCTGTTTATCAAACACCTCTGAGTCACTTGTCACTGTCAAATAACACTGTCATTCAACAGGATGTAACTGTGTATAAACATACAAATTTTAACAAAAATATTGTATATTAATGTTTTCTAGGATATATTAGATTACATTTAACCAAAACGACTATACTTAACTGTGTGATAAGTTTACTGTGAAAATAAGAACATTTGTATCAAGGTCTAGCACATGATGGACGCAAGCAGACGCCAAGTGACACATTGTTGCAAGTGTAATGTGTAAGCTTAACGTGACAAGTGATAATAGTAGAATTTGTAGCCTAGTGGTTACAATGATAGCCTGTCAATTTTTTTCTATTATCAGACATGCAGGTTCAAATCCTGGTAATTTCTTTTTTTTCTTCAAAAGATTGGTCAGCCAATTTACAATGTTTAACTTAACTTGTTCACATGAAATCCAAATTTTATAAAAGAATTCTTAAGTTTGGTAATCTATGTTACACTGTTCAAACAAACTTGAATTAACATCATGTAAATCTTTTTTTAAGCCTAAAGACACCGACTGTTCCACTCTGTCTCGTTGCCTTTGTTCCCACACAATAAAGAACATGGAGAAGGTAAGCATTGTTCCAAAATGCTAGCATTGTAATTTCTTTAAGTAATATGTACAAATTGCCCAGAGCAGTTAATTAGTGGTATGAAAATAAGTAATGTTACCCTTGAATAAGATTATCGAACATTTTAAAACAGAATTTTCTATTGATATAAAGTCATCTGTTTTTCAGTTGAGAAGATCTGGGTATGGCAGACACCAAGACAAGATGCCTGTTTCCAGCGATACACTGTTGAATGCTGCAATTCTTGACAGTGATTCAGAAACTGAGATTGATGACCATGTGGATGAAGAGTGAAAGTGTATGTTTTATATCTTTGCAGTGAATGAGTTGTGAATAATTACTTTTGAAGATTTTTGAATACTGACTTTTAACACTTACATGGTGTTAAAATCAAGCTGTGCCAAGAATGCAATTTCACCAAAAATGGCCCCCTTTGCGGTCAAGACTTGTGATTTTTAGTGCAACATGATTGGTTATTGTAATAACATGTTCTGAATGAGATGTTTATTGTATATTTGCTAAAACTTGTTGTGAATACTGACTTTTACTTCTTACTTGTTAAAATCAAGCTGTGCCCAAAATGTAATTAGACCCAAAATGGGCCCCTGTGATTTTTAGCGCGACATGATTGGTTATCATAAGTGCATGTTGTAAAATTGACCTATAGTTTATATTTGCAAAGAAAGTTGTGAACAATGAGGGTTTTTTGTAAACAATTAGCAAGTAATTGAATTACTGTCCACAATGTATTGCAACCCTAATTGGGCCTCTTGAAGTTAAAACCTTGTGATTGATATTGACATGTTTCTTGATCATGAAAACCTGTTGTAAAACTGATGTTATTTGTATGTTAATAAACTCATAGTTGTAAATAAGTCATTATGGCACACTGATATTTCAGATTTCCTGGGTGTTTTCATGGGAACTGATAAAAAAACCATTTTCGGCCCCTTTGCATTGAAATTACGGCCTCAGATCATTTAAAAAATAATTTTTTTATGCAAAGCTATCTTGTCTCTAAACAAATAACATGTGTTCAGCCAATTCTGTTTGTGGGCCAAAAAACACCCTTATCATACCTTGTCCTTTCATAAATGACGCTAGCCAATTATTTTCGATGATTGATTGGTTCTAATAAACCAATCATCAATTATGAGATTTTAACCAATTCCCAACACTAGTCAGTTGTGCAAGGAAAAAGGAAAACAGAAAACGGAAAGGAAACAAATCAATGCTAATGCTGATCAATATTAATACACAAAGACGTTTAAGCTTAATGAGCACCATTAATAATTATTGTTATTATTCTTCACGGTATCTTTAATTGTCTTCGTTTTTGTAATCTATCCAAAACAGCTCACATATGCACATGAAAATACATTTAAATGTGGCCTTATATCGCTTACACCAACTTGCACAAACCTACCTTAGCACTAAGAACATCATAACTCACATACTGTAACACTGACTTACAATAGTCCCAGTGTTAAGATTGCTTTGCTCTACACATTGCACTGTTGGGCTTTAGATAACCGTCACCTGTGTTTGCTGAGGGATAAAAATTTCACTTACAATAACCTTAAAACACTTTTCAAGCCATCTGAAAGTTTCATTACATTAAAAAATACAAGGCAGAAAGTCAAGGAAAATTTTAGAAGAAACTTCTCATTACATATCAGCTGGAAAAAATGTTAAATTTTGAAATAGTTTATCATTATTACTAACACACATATTTCTGTATCAAACACGATTGAAAGCTTTAAACAATTATTCTAGCACGACAATGTGTGATATTCAATTCTGATTAGCTGAAGAGCGGCAGTATACTCAAAGCGGGTCCAGATCTAAGTGTGTTGACGTCGCCAACACACGTCGGCCCACACGTCCTAACCTGACCTCTTCCGTCCCGGACGTAATGCCCAGTCCTTCCATTTCCACTGTCCATGTATCCCACATAAAACGTGGCATGTCAGGTCTTTTCCAAATTGGGAATAGTTGGGTGGTTATCAACAATTATTTCCGTGAAGAAACTTAGCGAGTTCACGGCTTGCATTTTGGCAAGTCGATTGTCATACAGTAGGGGAGATCAATAATTCGCTTGAGAAAAATCAAATAATTGTACTTGCTCACAGTATAAACTGTATGCTTTATTTTTATGTATGCTATTTGTTACATATACAAGCATACTGGTTCCTGAAATATAGCATTTATGTTGTTGAAAATGTCTTATTTTGTTCATTACACAACCTGTCCCTCAACGGGACGATTCCAAGCGATTTCCAGGGAAAAGGCCCTTTATGCCTTGTGTTTTAAAGCTTCAGTCGTGTTAGAATGAAGATAAAGCTACTCTGTGTTCAATTTTGCAGTCTTTATCAGTTTAAGACCGCTTTTAAAAAACCTCACGCTAACGCTTTCGGTTTTCAAATTACATTTAGCGGTCTTAAATCAACGGTAAAGGACCGCAAAATTGAAAACAGAGTAGCTTTATCTTCTAAATCAATGTTAGCATTATTCCAGGACACCAGATATCACTAATATATAGTCAAGTTGAATAAGGCATTACAAAGAGCATCATAATTTTATTTCATATAAGAGTGAGTGAGTTTAGCTTTACGCCACACATTTCATATAAGAAAAAGGGATACTCTACTCTACTCTAAAGTCAAGCTTCATAAAGTGAGAAATTTTACAGGCATATGAAACAAATATATTTATCTCATATCACAAAAGATGGAGCTTGGCTCAACAAGACCTTGAGTTCAGTGTGAGAAAGGTCTACATGCCGATCACTACACCTCTACTACATAGTCTTGATGCTGCCTTGAACTTGGTGCCTCTGACAATACAGCACTAGAAGCTGCTGTTCCATTGAGCCTTGTGTTCAAAGGCGAGTTCAGACTGCTGCTAGCAATATTGCATCCACTGTCATATATGATCTTATCAGTTTTGGATGGTTGTTGAAGGATGCCCACAGCAGTGTGCAGCTTCTCAGCCTTCTCTACAGATGATGTCACAGTCTGGAACAAACGGCACATTGAGAATAAAACAGAAGTTGAGAGGAGTTAGAGAAGTGATTACGGGAAATATGCCAGAGTTGAAATAATGTTCATAGTGCCGAGCCTTGGTGAGGCGCTGAACATTAATTTAACGAGGCATATTTCCCGTAATCACTCGTACCAAGTTGGTTACTTTATTTATTACCCATAATGTAATTAAAAAAGAAGAACCACGAAATAAAAACCACCTGAAGACAGGACTTGTGACCTCAAACAGCTGATTCGTATTCATGCGCGTATTAAACTTCTACAGCGGTAATAAGACAAAGACTGACGTCATGGTGGCATCTGAGGCTGAGGATGAGTGGGCAGAGTGGTGGAGTTACAAGGGATTGACAACAATTTATTGATTGACTGATGTTGTTTCTCATTAATTGAAGAGTAACTGTTTATTGATTGAACATTTTTGTGCCCGGAATATTGTGCCTGGTTCTATGGCACGGACGCTGCGGCAGACTCACTTGTCACACTTTCAGGTAACATCTTTAGTCGGTATCTTGCTGCTTCTATTTCCCTGAATACTAGTTTTAAACTGATCAGCTCAAGAAGCAGAAGATTGGGAAATTATAGGTGGTAAATAAACTGTCATGGTGTCACTGGCTCTGTTGCACATAGCTATCTTAGCACTAACTTCGCAGCTTGACTCCTGAGAGTTTCTAGGACTTGAGTCCTGCCCCACAACGAAGCACATGTGACACATGTGGTCTCACCTTAGGCAAGTGAGTTTGTTCAAAATTGTCTCTGTTCACCCAGCAGGAAAATGGGTACCCGGTGGAAAAAGTCATATGACTATAACCTTCTAGCGCCTAACAGGCAGCTTGGGTTATCCGGGGTAATAATGTGCTGTGCCTTGATTGTTAGCGCTATGAGCATACCTAGTGTGGAGTTTGGCTATATAAATGGACACATTATTGATAATGTAATTTTTGGAGTAAAATTGATATTTTATACTTATCCTGACTCATGCTCTTTTTGCTTGTCTTCTTCTTCTTACGAACATAGTGGAACACTTGTATCTCCCTAATTGAAGCTCCCTTCAATTTAAAATCACTAATTAGTATTCACCACGAGTTACCTCCTTTCCACAAGCTGGCGGGGAGCGAGGGCCACCCTCACCCATGTGCCTCACTCTCTCCTCATATACTGAGCCCAACATTTGAATTTACAGGAAATCCAAAGTGTTATTTGGGAGGATGGGAGGGCTGACCTCATGAGTCAGGATAAGTATAAAATATCAATTTTACTCCAAAAATTACATATTTTTCCTTATCCTGACTCATGCTCTCTTTTGCTTGTAGCATCCTACTGAGCGGAGGAGGGAATATCTAATACTTTGGATTTTTAATAATTAGTGATTTGAACTGTGATGATTGTAATAACCCTATGGGAACTTCATAAAGGCACTGAACTGATGAATTCCTGCTGCTAACTTATCAGCTGCCATATAAAGGTTATTACCATGTACTTATTATGATAAAGTATATATAACATTAATACAATGCTTAAGACTAATAGACTTAAGCTTGTTAATATGCTAGTATAAACTCCTTAGAGTTTGTTAGCTAAAATACTTTAAGATATAACATAGTACTAAGCTTAAGATATGATTAAACTTAAGCTAATTATATAATAGCAAACTCTTTAGAGTTTGTTAGTTAATATACTTATATGATATAGATATAATGCTGAGCTTAAGATATGAATAAGCTTTAGCTACATATATAATAGCAAAAACTCTGTAGAGTTTGTTAGCTAATATATTTTTATAATATGAGTATAGTACTGTGCTTAAGCTATAATTAACTTAAGCTACATATATAATAGCCAAACTCTGTAGAGTTTGTTAGCTAATATATATTTATAATATTAGTATAGTACTGAGCTTAAGATATAATTAACTTAAGCTACATATATATAGCAAAACTCTGTAGGGTTTTGTTAGCTAATATATTTTTACAATATGAGTATAGTAGTGTGCTTAAGATATAATTAACTTAAGCTACATATATAATAACAAAACTCAATTAGAGTTTGTTAGCTAATATATTTTACAATATGAGTATAGTAGTGTGCTTAAGATATAATGAACTTAAGCTACATATATAATAGCAAAACTCCATAGAGTTTGTTAGCTAATATATTTTACAATATGAGTATAGTATTGTGCTTAAGATATTATTAACTTAAGCTACATATATAATAATAAAAACTCTGTAGAGTTTATTAGCTAATATGTTTATAGTGTAACCATAGTACTAAGCAAGATAAGATTAGACTTAAGCTAAATGTATATAGCAAAATAAACTCCTTAGAGTTTATTAACTAATATACTTTTATGTTAAAAACATAGTACTGAGCTTAAGTTATGATGAAACTTAAGCTATATATATATAATAACAAAACTCCGTGGGGTTTTGTTAGCTAATACTGCTATAATGTAAACATACTGCTTAAGATATGATGAAAACTTAAGCTAATTGTATAATAGCGAAAACAACCCTTTAGAGTTTGTTAGCTATGATATAAACCTAGTATTGAGCTTATGAAGGAAAACTTAAGCTACATATATAATAGCAAGAACTCCGTAGAGTTTGTTAGCTAATACATGTTATAATGTAACCATAAAGCTTAAAATATGATGAAACTTAAGCGAAATATATAATAGCAAAACCCTCTTTTAGAGTTTTGATAGCTAATATACCTATATGATATAAACATAGTACTGCGCTTAAGATATGAATAAGCTTAAGTTACATATATAATAGCTAAAACTCTGTAGAGTTTGTTAGCTAATACATGTTATAATATAACCATATTGCTTAGAAATATGATGATACTTAAGCCAAATAGCAAAAAACTCTTTAGAGTTTGTTAGCTAATCTACTTATATGATATAAACATAGTACTAAGCTTAAGATATGAATAAGCTTAAGCTACCTATATAATAGCAAAACTCCTTAGAGTTTGTTAGCCAATATATTTTAATAATATGAGTATAGTACTATGCTTAAGGTATAATTAGCTTAAGTTACCTATATAATAGTAAAACTCCGTAGAGGAGTTTGTTAGCTTAATTAACTTAAGCTATGTATAAAATAGCCAAAAACTCTGTAGAGTTTGTTAGCTAATGCATTTATCATGTAACCATAGTATTACTCTTAAGATATGAATAACTTAAGGTAAATATATATAATAACAAACTCTGTAGAGTTGTTAACTTATATATTGTATGATGTAATAATCATAGTACTGTGATGATAAAAGGAACTTAAGTAAATTATATATAGCATGAAGCTATTTAGTATTGTTATAAGATAAGTAAAAATCTGTTAGATTGACTTATCTTCTCCGAGAACTGTCAGCTGTTGTCACGAGGACCATGGGATCGAATTGGTGTATACCTGAGGGCGTCCTCGGTGGTGATATCTCTCAGATAATGGTTTGCAACCACCATATCAGTTTCCAGAAATAAACCCTCCATTATTTCAATCACATTTGTGTAGAACAATTGTAGAAGTTAAGCTATAATATCATGAGTATTAAGCTCATGGAGGGTGAATAGGTCCATCCATATGCCGTAGTATGACAGTTCTGATCCAAATGGAGATATAGTACATGAGACTTCACTCTCGTAAGTTGATGATAGAGGAAATAATCTGTTGCATTTTTCCTCCTGTTTGGTTTGGTGGAGATAAATTTACAGTGCTCTTGCTGGCCATCTTGATAGAATCATCGTATCATGGGGTCCAAGTATGTCATCCAGGCGTGTTCATAAACCTCACTTGTGAGGTGTTGGAACACTATATTCATATCCCAGGTTGGGCGTGAAATTTCCGTTTATTCTCCAAACAGAAGTTTAGTAGGTTTACTAACCATCTAGTTGTGTTAATTAAACTTGATGAAATTCAGCTGTAGTCTGAAGCTGTGGATTTAGATCCACTTGTATCTTTCGTCTAGGTAATTAAGCTCTGCGAAGTCCTTGGCGATGTAGGTGCACAACCAGGTGTGTCTGTCCTCGTTGAACTTTATGTAAAATCGCCTGACTGCCGATCCCTCGTCTTAACTTGACAGGGGAGGTCTCTAACTGAAGAAAGGCAGTCTAATCATGAATGTTCAGGTTAACTGGACTGTAATGAGGCTTGCTTTCGTTCACTGATATATAGTTGTCACTTGTGGCGTAAGTCTTGAACTGTGAATAGAGATGCGACCTCTGTGTAGGTCGTTGTCCCTCAGCGGTCCAATCAGAACAAGGCATTTTGATTCTGTATAATACCAGCTGTGATGTCACGGTGTAGCGGGAAAAAACCCACCTTGAATAAATTCTTGTAAATTAGTTGATATTAGCATAAGCGTCGGTCTTCACCGTAGCTTCGAAGTTATCCGAGTGACCACGTGTTTGAGGGTTAATGGTAACCTTGTGAAACCTCCGGCGAAATATCTGCGCTCTGTAATTTTATGCTGGGTAGGTTATTTTCCTGGTTGTCGTGAAAGTAATTTCAGTTTTGAATATAATTCCGACTTCCTTATATATAAGGGTATAAACAACTTGCAAGTTGTGAGCTTGTAGACTGTATACATGAATGTATCGTCATAATTGTAGAATTAGCGTTGAACTTGTTGTACATATTTCTTCTCAGAAACTTTGGCGATTAAGAGTTATACTTCGCTGTAACAAGGCTGCTGTTCAATTTCGATATTGAATTGTCTGCAGATATGCGTAATGGTCCATGTAGATATGTCGTATCGTCGTCGAGGATTGTATATTAGCAATTTATCACGGAATAGTTGATTTCTGTGAAGATCTATGAAATGTCGTTGACTAATAATACAGCGGCGTTCTGTGTTGTAAATAGCCTGAGCAATTATCTTGGCGTAGGCTTATAGGCGGCATCTGGCATACAGTTGATAATCAACTTATCGCGGCGTCTTGAAACGGACTGACGAGTAGCTATATATGGCGAGTGGCTGGTATATGGAAACCTTGGAGGAGACTTCCTCGGTGAGCGCCCGGAGACTTAGCGAAGTTCTCGAAGTATCCCTTCTAGATCTTCTGGGTGAAGTAGACTTGGAGCCACTTAGCCTTAGCGACCATCGCGAAGGTGTCGAATCAAAACCCGATTAGTATATATATATATATATAAATATATATATGGCGCTTGCCGTGAACAGCCTCTGTGTTTAACAGGATGTGGGATCGTGAAGCTTGCCTAAAATAGGGCGCATGGATCATCTTATCATATTCAGAAGTGGGTGTTCACGAAGTCTGGTGATAAGTGTCTAATTGATCGTTCTAGATCTATTTAGGCCAGCGAACATCGTCTGCGTCATGGATTCAACAGAACCAATATCACGATTGTAGTTCTTATACTTGATATCGATGATCAACTTGTCTATGGGTTGATCTTCTCCGGAGACTTGTGAGGAGGAGCGTTGATAGTTTGTGAAGCTCTTGTATAGTCCCTCGATGTCCTTCTAGATGATGATGATCTGGATTCAGGTGTCCTTGGCATGCCTTGCGAAGCTTCCTCTGCGTCGGTCGAGGAGGAGCGGCGATATGACCTTCGCGAAGGCTTCCGTGATGTCTGATGGTCGAGTCCACATCTAGGGATGAAACGCGCCAAGGTGATGATCTATCCTGCCTTAGCGAAGTCCTTGCGAAGGCTGTACATCTAGGTTCTTTCGCCTTAGCGAAGGCTGTACATCTAGGTCCTTTCGCCTCGCCGAAGGCCTTGCGAAGAGCTGTACATCTAGGTCGCCGTCAAGGTGGTCCGTGACTTCCTTGCAGCGAAGGTGACATCGTCCTGGCTGCTTTCGTTGGCGGGGGTGCCTCTGGGGTGCTGTCTACGTTGGAGCCTTCAGAAAAACTCGGACCCTGCTACCGCAGATATTGGTCCTCCATGATGTTCATAATTTGTATGCATCATGTCTTCTGGGATGGTCTGCGGCGAAGTGCGTCGGTGCTTTATCTGCGGTGTTAATGGAGGGGTCCACGGAAAATCGTCCGACATCAGTGTAGAGGCATCAGGCTGCATGGTGATCTCTGCTGATGTCGTTGTAGCTATCACCGGTCGTTTCTTGTGGCGTCGTGGGGATGATGATCAGCTGATCATCGTAGAGGTCAGGTCATCGGCTGGAACAATCTCGGTTGAGAAAGTCCTAGTAGACTTCGTTGATTTTCCCTCAGAGGTCGGCGCTGCCCTGGGTGTCGCGGCGTCTGCGTTGAGTGTTGGTAATGATGGGACCCTCAGGGCGATCATCGCATATCTGCGTTGGTACATCAGGCTGCATGCTGATCTGTGCGACATCGGTCAATCTTTGATGTACATCGGTATGATGACGGCTGATCATCATACAGGCCCAAAACCCGATGGGAGCGGTCTGGGTTGTTGAGATGTAGTAGAAAAACCCTCTAGTCTTCTGCTGCGGCGATGGGATGTCTGGGGAAGCAGGATGCTTCTTGGAGATGGCGGACTCGTCCCACACCTCTCCACCACTCTAGCGGAACACCACCGCGGGAGAGTCGGCCAACAGCAGTAGACTGGCGAGGGTTCGGTGTATCAGTCATACTAGACTCTGCATCGCGACCTATCTGCTGTCGTGCGTGCCAAGCGCCAAAGTAAATATTAATAAAAGGTAGAATTGGATAAATTAGTACCGCAAACTGCAATGTGAATATAATAAACATGGCCGTACATCATATTAAAGGCGGATCAGCAGCAGCATAAAAAGCGTAATCTGCAATAGTACAGAATTTTCATCAGCGTAATCCACTGAAACAAACCACGGCGTCCGTGACTAAACTGTAGAAAAGCGACTAAATATCAATATATAATGCGTTGAAGGATACTAGCTAAACCTCTATAGATGTCTATCACGAGGTAACTAACTAAATATAATTCAAAGGATATAGTGTGTCGGGAGACACAGAGCTCTCACGTCCAGCTCACTGGGCGAAGAAGGAAGAGTGAGGCACATGGGTAGAGGTGAAGCCCTCGTTCAGCAGCTTGTGGAAAGGAGGTAACTTCGTGGTGAATACTAATTAGTGATTTTAAATTGAAGGGCTTCAATTAGGGAGATACAAGTGTTCCACTATGTTAGCAAGAAGAAGAAGACAAGCAAAAAAGAGCATGAGTCAGGATAAGGGAAAAAAAGTAATATCACAGCAGGGGACACCAGAAATGGGCTTCACACATTATACCCATGTGGGGAATCAAATCTTCAGCGTGACGAGCGGACACTTTAACCATTAGGCTACCATATCATATAGGGTTTTTCAGTGTATTGTTTCCCATTTAGCCATCATAAGGTCTTATTCATCGATTAAGAAACACTGTGACAATCAAGGGAGATTATTTATCAATACTGTTGGACACATGGGCACGTATTCCAGACAGTTCTGCTGAGACATGACCTGTCCATTCCAATCAGGGATAGAAATACTTTAGTTTATAAGTGTGCCTTAGGGCACCAGGCAAATATTTTAAATGTGCCTTTCAGAAATCAAGTGTGCCCACATGTTTTTAGAATAAATGACTGTAACAGTGATGATGATCATTTAAAATTTATTGTTAGTAAACAACAAATGTAACCTGTTTTGTCTTATCACTGATAAGTCTTCTCTTTAAAATGGCTTTCTTAAGCTTCATTTGTTCTTTCCCAAGACTTTTAATAGCTGAGAATTTTGTGACAGGTAATTGTTCAACATATCTAACATACACAATTTCCTCTTCAATAACCTAACTATCAGTACTCCCATCACTCTTAATGGAAAAACAACCAGATTTCTTTACATCATCCATCATAATTCCATTGGGCGATATAGTCAAGAAATGTTTTTGCTTGTTTGTCATTTGCGTAAGTGTCTTGTTTTGGGGATTAAATGACTAAAGGTGAGTTATGTCTCTAAAAAATTAGGCGTGCCACAAGGGCACAGAGAACAGTTTTTATCCGTGCCATTTCAATATTTACCGTGCCATGGCACCCTAATATATGCAGTATTTCGAACCCTGCCAATGCTCAATCTTATAGTGTACGAATAGTTCACTTCATAATCTGGAAATCTCCTGTAATGTCCCCACTACCCCTTACAAGTAATGGATACATACAATAATCTACCCACCTTAGTAACTGCATCTAGCTGTGATGAAGCATTCTTCAGTTCAGCCTTAAGTTTTGGTTCTGCAAGCAGTGTTGGGTCTTCTTTAAGAGTAAAGGGTTGTCTCCCTTCATTTGTCACCTCTACCTTGGCCTGCAATGACAATATAGAGACAACATTGTGTGATTCCTTACATGTCCAATTCAACTAATTTTCCAGTCTAAGTAAACTTAGGCTCAGTATTATTTGTTAAACGGCTATACTGAGTCTAACAAACCCTAGAAGGTCGCGTTAGCTAACCTTTGAGCAACCCATGACCATCCAATCAAACGGGAGAGAACGGATTTAACCAAACAGACAAGGCTACTGTTTAGGGATAGGCGGGACTTACAAAATTTTCACTTCTCCGGTCGTTGACACTGATCTCTCAACAAACGAAAATCGCATAAAACACAGATATTTGACGTGGAGTATTTACGCTTAGGGGTTTCTGATGACATGGTTACCAGGAGGTTTATTTCCGCGAGATGACATCCTGGCATATTGACAAAAAACAGTATTTTCAGCGACTGTTTTCACTCTGTTGTGAATAATGGCATCCCCCATGTGTATGATCATTCGGAAGCGATAGTGCAGAAAATAGCATTCGGAATCGTTCGAGTACAAATGTTTTTCAGGTAAAAGTTCAAACGGTATGTGCAAATGTAACTTTCGCGATTTGGTAAGCTGTTCTCTGATTGGTCAATTCAAAAAGTTAGCTGACGCGACTTTCTACTAGGTTTGTTAGACTCAGTATAGTACTGTAACGAATACCTAATACTGAGCCTAAGTTCACTTAGACTGAATTTTCTATAATGCTCCTTGTTTACCTTTTATTCCTATCAAATGCAACTTAAATTATAAGCCTAAACAAATTGTAGAAGGGTTGGAAATAATATGTTTTAAACAGGACAATATTTACATTTACTTGTTAAACCACCCATCAAAATATACAGTACAAGGAGTTATTATTCAGATTAGAATAAAAAATACTAGTAAATTGGGACATACCAAGTAAAAGGCTTGTTTATTGACTATTTCATATGTTTCCTCTTCACAAAATCGAGGATGGAACTTCCGTTTCCTCGCTACACGGACAATAGCACTGTCAAAGTTGGGTACCAGTTCATTATTGATGTAATTTCTTTTGTCCACATCAACAGGTTCAAATTCTGAAAATTAAATTGTTGAAATTGATTATAGTACATTACTCAAAGGAAGTTAAAGAACACTCATTATTTCATGGGGCTAATCTGACATGGCGTGTTGGTACAGCAACACAGAGTTTCCAATGGTGGATGCTCTTTAGCTTGTTGTAAGTAGTACATGATCATGCTGTTTGTTTGATTATTTTGGCTATATCAAAGTAAATATTGGCAAATCAAATTAAGCAAATAACAAGGTCAAACATTAAAAATGCTTGCACATTCATCATGTAAAATTGTTCAGTTAATTTTTCTCTGGTTTTTGACACTTTACTGACTGACTGACTGAGTTTCGTTTTACGCCGCTTTTAGCAATATTCCAGCAACATCACAGCAGGGGACACCAGAAATGGGCTTTACAAATTGTACCCATGTGGGGATTCGGACCCGGGTCTTCGGCATGACGAGCCAACGCTTTAACCACTAGGCTACCCCACCGCCCCTTTTGACACTTTAAGGGATCTACAGGACATCACTGCTCACATTGACAGTGCAAGACATACCATTGTTCCGATGGACATTTATAGCAGGTTACTTTAGTCATGATGGCTGATGCTGTAGGTGTTCATAAAAGTACCAAGAAATCAGCTTTACAATGTTTCTCAATATGTTCAACTTTTCAACATTGAAATCGTTTGAGTAAATCTGTAGCATATAGTTCTGTGACATGTACCTGATGTTTCATTGTGGGTATCAGCAAGCGAACACTCTTCTCCATCTATAAGGATGTTCTGTTGTATAGCTGTTTCATAAATCTGGAACAGGCATTATATCTGATCATGAATTCTTTTTCATTGGATGAACAATACAACACGTATAAAAACAGTCAGTGTTTAAAATATAGCCCGTCCCACCGTCCTTGACAGTCTATTTTTGTCTATTAAATAAGTAAGGCCATCCTTTGGTCGGGGGAAATATTTGAAAAACAAGTGTTTGCCACTGATATGGCAATGTCCCCCACCGCTAAAGAATGGAATATCTTTATTTATTACTTTTAATTTTTTGGTCACATACAAGATGCCTGAAATGACTGGTGTCTGCATAATCACCCAATGTAGGCCGTCAACATAATTGAAAACATTGGGTGTAATGTTTTATGAGATATCGCGTTTAAATAAGTTTGAAAAGCGGTCAAAGTGTTGTGATGACCTTGGAGATAGGTCAAGGTCACCCAAATAAACTGGTGTATGCGTAATCCCCAGTGGTGACCTTGAAGATAAGGTCAAGGTCATCAAAAATATACTGTGGTATGCCTAATGCCCCAATGTAGGCTGTCACCAAATTTAAAGATTTTGGGTACAACAGTCCATGAGATGTCGCGTTAACAAGAGTTTGAAAAGTGGTCAAAGTCGTTGTGACCTTGAAAATAAGTAAGAACAAGGTCACCCAAATCGACTGGTGTCTGCGTAATCCCCCAATGTTGGTGGTCACTAAACTTGAAGACATTGGGTACAACAGTTCATGAGATATCGCATTAATAAGAGCTTGAAAAGTGGTCAAAGTGTCGTCGTGACCTTGAAAATAAGTTCATGAGATATCTCGTTAACAAGAATCTGGACGTACGTATGTACTGAACTGTGCCATGAAATAGAACAATGTCATCCGCGAACAGCAGAATAAACAGTTCAATAAAATCTAAATCGATACACCTCTGATTATCAGCAGACAAATATTCAACTAGATCATTGATAAAAATGGAGAACAAAAATGGAGATAGTTGACATCCTTGGCGTACTCCATACATGCAATCAAAGAAAGAGGTATAACCTGTTTTAAGTGAGACACATGACTTTACATTTTGGTACATATTTTTAAGCAAAGAGAACGTCTTTCCTTTCACATTTCCAAGCCACAGCTTGTGAAGTAAACTATTTCTGTCAACAGAATCGAACGCAGCCTTTAAATCAACAAAAGCACGGTATAGCCGTCCCTTATATAGTGATAAGTATTTATTAACGACTGTATGAAGAATAAAAATATTATCAGCTGTTTGGAAACCATGTCTAAAACCAGCTTGCTCTGGGGTGAAAAATTCTTCTTGCTGAGCCCATGCATACAACCTGCTATTAATGACTTTAGCAAATATCTTTCCTGAAACTTCCCAAAGTGTAATCGGTCTATAGTTAGAAGGTATATCTACACTGCCCTCTTTATGCAGAAGAATAATAACACCTAGAGTCCAGGCTGACGGGTATACCCCTGCAGATAGTATGGCATTAAACAGAAACTGCAACATTTGGAAGCAACTGATTGGAGCATTTTTGAAGAACTCTATACTTATCCCACTAAAACCCGGCGCTTTACCTGACTGCATACTCTCTACAGCATCGACAACTTCCTGCATGGATATTTTCCTATCAAGATATTCCTGGTCTACAGTAGGGGTAATGAGATCAACACCAATAGAATCTATAAACGTTTGAACTAGTTCATAAAACTCTGCCTCAACATTTGATGTGCAAACACCTCTAAACAACGTTTCAAAATAATCAACCCACTCGGAAGCTTTAATCTTGTTAAATTTAAAGGCACGTTTCTGGTTAACGATTGCCCAGAATGATTTATTATCCCTCGTACACAATGCTTTATTTAGTTTTTCAACATACTCTTGAAACTGACAAGACATTTTCGATGAACAAAACTGCTGATAAAACTTCCACGCATCGATGTGCCGTTGTTTATCACTGAAACTGCTACTTGCATGAAATGCACGGAGAAAACGACGAGCCTCACAACAAGCTTCAATGCATTCTCTATCAAACCAGTTACCTCCCCTGGTATCACCACATTCACCTGAAGTGACAACCTTCTTACAATACTCAGCACACGACTGCATTATAGAATGAAACAAACTCTAGGCTTGGGATATTTCACCATGATCCACCAATGAGTAGAACAGATTAATATCTTCAGGACTAACTTTGTCCCAATTTCCAACATAAATATCATTTCTATTAGTATCATTTTTCAAAACGAACTTAACCTTAGGAACAATATTATCTTCACAAGTGACAGGGTTGAAACTCTCAGTGCTAACAGAAAAAGAATAAACTATAGGTAGATGAGAAGATTCCACTTCATCAGCAATATCAAAACTGTTAAACAGTTCAAAGGCATTTTCTGTACAAAGAACATAATCTACAGTACTTTGTCCATTATTTGCAAAGCACGTAATTTTGCCAATACCCTTATCGTTAAACAAACGTCCATTACAAATGATAAGTCCTGTAGTTTTACAAAAAGTCAAAAGTTGATGTACACGTTTGTTGATTACACGATCCTGGGATACACGTGGCTCAATCCCATCATCAGATTGGTAGTTTATGTCCTCATCAATTGGTAAATAGGTGGGGTCATTGTGAATTATGATATTGGAATACACATCACTACCAGTTCGTCCATTAAAGTCTCCTTGGAGAATAATTTGACAGTCAGAATCCTTTGATCGAAAATTTGTAATATTATCTTCCAGAATAGTGAATATTGGTTCATTAGCAAAATCACTCAAGTTCACAGGTGAAAACTATACAACAGCATAATATAAAACGTGCAATGAACGGTGGCTGTGTATCTTTAACCACATTATATCTGTACAACAACTGTTTTATAAGGTTACACATTTTGAAATCTCTGTGCTAATAAATGTTAAAATTCCACCTGACTACCGAATAGCGCGATCAGATTTAGTCCTAACCTGACTATATTGGACATAGCCAGGAAGAGTGAATGTGTCCTCTTCACCAGCCCATGTTTCAACCAGTGAAACGAAAAAAAAATAAATTAGTAAACGGTAGTTGGAACTTTCGTCTTAGTCCTTCGATATTCCAATATAACACACTGAAACTTGTTTTTGAGTCACATGGGCCTTGGCCACGCCCCTATTTCTTACTGGATTGTCGTGTTGTATATCCTCCACGTTTCCAGTGTTTGAAAGTTTCCACATGTTGAATGTCATCACCTGAACTATTGAGTTTGTATAGCTGGTCATCGATCTGTAATTTGTCAAACTTCAATATGGCGAATTTATCCTCTGATATGGGCTTGTCCATAAATGGTTTCAGTTTTTTACGTGTAAGCCGAACTTTCTCACTATAGTCTTGTGATATACGGATAGGAGAGTCCTTTAAACACTTTGATGCTTGCAGGATAATCATTTTCTGTCTAAAGTCCTTCAACGTTACAAAAATAGGCCGGGTTCCAGGGGATTTAGACGGAAGACGTTTCACACGTTCGATGTTAAAGAATATAAGGTTGTTCTGTCGTGAGGTATTTTCCAACATATCAACCTTCGTGAGCAGACTATCAACTGTATTACGTAGTTCAACATTCTCTGTGGTAACTTCGTTCATGGTATGTTCAATGGCGTTGATTCGGTTCTTAAGTTTTGTGAAGTTTTCGTTTATCTCGATCCGCATCTCTTTTATTTATTTCATTACCTCTGAAACGCAGAAATCTCCCTCTAATGTGGTTTGTTTCTTCATTGGGCCAGGATTCTGCTCAACGTCATTAGAAAGTAGTAACAGCAACGTGAGGAACAAACAACTTTTCAAAAGAGCACTCGCACATCTTGGCACCTGCAGCACGCGAACACGCATGGCTGTCTTGTGTCGTGACTTCTTCATCAGTAGCGTGATAAAAACTGGTTGAAAACAACCAATTCGGCATTGAAAAGTCTCAAAATCGCAACCGATATTGTTGACACACAATACCTTGAGTTAACTGTGACCTTCAAGTTTTGAACGTTGTTGTCTACTTAATAACTTTCAACATTTCATCAGAGCTCTGCAGCACACGTCCTGACTCAACAACCACTAAGTGTCGCTCTCAGCAAAGGATAAATGTTAAGAGTTATCTACCTTAACCCGAAAACAATGACCACCAGGGATCGAAGATACATGGGACATCTGAGAAGTGAGAGCCACAGTCGGCAGCTTGAGCCATTTCCAGTGTTTTATAAGCTGAGCCTGGTAAACTGCATGTATTGTTGTCCAAATTCAACTATTTATTGCACAACCCATGGCATTATCACAATTATCGTCAGATCATTTTTTGGGATGTCATAGTTTTCGGATGCCAGTGCTCACTCTGGCTGTAATGAGGGGTGTTACATCACACATACATTGGGAACTCATGAATCAATGAATGATGCCTTGTGTTTAGGATAAAGATCTTTTATAAATAGGTGAGAAGTTTTATAACTGTTCATGTGATAGTCGAGACGACAACAACAGATCTTTTTTAAGTGTCCGAAAACCCAAGACACAAAGCTGCATAATTATTAGGTCTACCATATTCACATTTTTAACTTCTAATAGTCACAGAATTTTAGGAAAGGTCCACAACCGTCAAGTATCGAACTCCATATCTCCCCTGTTCAAAATACTGAAAATGACAGTGGGGTGTACGTGTGGCATTATATATGTGCAGTATGTTAGGAACAAACTTTCAACAAATAGTATTGTTGCCTGAAATCAGATGTACAGATTTTTGACAGTTCAGTTTCGTAATGTCACACTATAATAGATATCTGACCTCTCGAAACCGCAATCTGCATCGTTCTTTGTCTTCTTCAGAAGCATCAGGGTTTCCTGATACGATATTTTCAATGTGCTCGTTTATTGCGGTAACGATAGAGGAGACTGTGCGTTTACTTCTACATTCGATTTTAACATTTTCGGCAGATTCGGCCATTTTAAATCGTGCGCGCCTAGATTTGCGCATGCGCAAAAACATCGATAAAGGAAGATAACTCTAAATTTGTTTATAACCCAAACGGGAGCTGCTGATGTACCGTTGCACGTACAAGTTGCAATATCATAAGAATATTTACTGTCGTATCATGTGAACGGAGGCGAGAATAAAATGGATACCAAAAACTTTGACTGTTATGTTGATGTACATAGTCATTTGACGGATGAAGTATTTACAGAGGTTATGCTATATCATGTATTGTTTCTTGGCACTTATAAAAATAAATTGCAATCTTCAATATGTCAGAAACTGTACAGAGTGCTGCTGTTACCAATTCTTAAAAATCAAGGATATTTTTCATTTGTCAACATTATTTGATTTTCTGAAGTAAACGATGTGAATATAATCGATTTGAAGTATGTACATTGAATAGAGACTATTATTGCTTAATTTCTTGTCAAGACTTTTTACAGTAAACTATGTTGAAATGTTTGAAGATAAAGCCCTTGTTAAATCTGTTTCTAATACTGATTGTTGTTTTATGATACATTTTTTCCAGGACATTGAACAAGTTATATCAGAAGCAAAAAAGGTAAATACCATTACACTATATGCTCATGGTTGATCATTGACAAATGAATACAAGAGAAGATACACTTTATTCATTTATAGGTTTATTTCATTAGTAGGTTTAATCCATTTGGTTCAAATACTTCTTTGTTTATATTGTGTATGTCAAGCAAGCAGTTATACCCAGACAATGTGTCAGTTTCACACTTGTTACAATTAAATTACATTGTTTAAATCCAGGTTGCAAGTCAACAGACTGTGGGATAACATGATTATTTAAATGGAATTCATTATCTCTGGTTACAATGGTCACAGGTTGGAGTGGCAGCATCCCTAGTTGTTGCAGAGAATGAAGACCAGTATGATAAAGTTCTTAGTCTTGCAGACAGGTAAGATTAGCTCCATTGAAAGTGTCACAAATGAATTAGAAATTAAGGATTTGTATAAGGCTTTACTGCTCTGATTGGGAACATATTTTTTTTATTTTATCCCTTGTACACTGAAATCTAAAGAAAGGAAAAATCACTTGTACAGTACCAGTTTGTTTTATTCATTTTAACACAATGTGTGAATATTAACTACAATAGAAGACAATGTGTAATATTTATAGAAACCTGTCAAAGAATCAACCTGATGAGGGGTTAGTAATATACAAATCAAATATCTTGTTTTAAGGGATAACTGGTAAATTCTTATGGGCTAAAATGGACTTTATGAATACAAGATTTTAGTATTTGTTATCAAGCAAAAAATAATGAATCTATCTTACATGTTCAATGTTTATGATTTATAAAGTTCAGTATGATACTACTGCAATACATTTAGATGTTGCATTATATAACATTAGGACAGCTTATGTACAGGACTGTGCACCAGTAGGAAGATTACAGCACTTGCAGGAACAAAGTGTATTGTTTTAACATTTTCAGATTTCCAGACTTTGTGCTACCATGTCTTGGAGTCCACCCTGTTCAGGCAAGGCTAAGTTTTCATGTTTCATAGTTTGCAAATTTAAGAACTAGCAAAAACTCATTTCTAGAATTTCAATTTTCCAGAGATATTCTTTGTTATATATCTCATCAGGTCGACCTCAGTGATGATAAAATTATTGTACTTGAATATTGGTCATTTCTGAAGTAATTATTCTCCATCAGTAACACATAAGGGTCATCCTTCAAGATATATATTAGTGGCTCAATAATTGAGTCAAGGGGCCCTTTGTAAGTAAAGTGACCTGTTTCAACTACAACCATACCAATGGATTCATTCAACTGACCATTTCTGGTGTCCTCCACCGTGATATTGCTGGAATATTGCTAAAAGCAGGGTAAGACCATACTCACTCATTCATTCAACTGACTAGTTAGTTCTACGGGCCGGTGGGGTAGCCTAATGGTTAAAGCGTTGGCTTGTCACGCCGAAGACCCGGGTTCGAATCCCCACATGGGCACAATGTGTGAAGCCCATTTCTGGTGTCCCCCGCCGTGATGTTGCTGGAATATTTGCTAAAAGCGGCGTAAAACCAAACTCAGTCAGTCAGTCAGTTAGTTCTACAGTGACGCACAGGGCAAAGTTACAGAAATGTACAGCTTTAATGAATCAATATTTCTGGCAAAAAGTTATGTTGTATCTTTGTCATAACGATAACTGCTGGATGTAACTAAGAAATAACCTACTGTTCCCCACTCCATGTCAAGTTCTTGTAGAATGCCACATTTACTAGACTTGTACCTTGTATGTGTTAAATATACCTATATCTTCACACAGGGAGATCCAACCCAGGAGAGACGAAGTGCCAATATGCAGGTAATACTGAAGATCATCTCTTCTGCTAGACTAACGCTTTGTCTCTGAATATATCTCATTTTTATAGTAATGAACAAGCCCATTTAAATTAAAAAGGAGCCCCAGGGAGACCAGGGAAATTCAGAACCTGAACCTGGGGAAATCTAGACTTGCTTTATGTAGGGCTCTATCACTGCAGAGAGGGCTTGGCAGTAGGGAAAATAATGTGGTTCAGGGACCTGAACCTGAGGAAATCTAGACTTGCTATATTTAGGGCTTTGGCACTGTAGATAGGGCTTGGCAGTAGGGAAAATAATGTGGTTCAGGGACTGTGAGACAGACTACTCTTCTGCTACCTCCTCTGAGATTACAGGTACCACAAGTGTGAAAAGAAGCTGTGCATTTTGTGATTGGAAATTTATGTTCTGTAAATGTGAAACTTTGTATTAAAAATAACATGTAATGAGTAAAATGGAGTGTTATGCAATTACTTTAGCCGATGACCTATAGGATTCCCATATTTGTAATTGGGTGTCAGAGGGTATGTAGGCTTGATCTATTTTCAGAACCACCACATGTGTACAGGGATATAATTTGCATGTATCATTATCGGATAAATATTTTGAAAACATTACTTCTATAGTATAAGTACATAAAACAAAAACCCATTTGGGCCTAGTTTGATATTTTTTACATAACCCCCAAAGGATGTCAGGTTTCTCAAAAAGCACTACAGTTGCAGCGAAGACATTTAAGGATATCAGTTTAGAAATTTTACAACATAATCAAAACCTAATATGTTCTTTTGTGTTTACTGAAATATGGTAGGGTTCATTTTTGAGGGGGCGATGGGGTAGCCTAGTGGGTAAGGCGTTTCGCTCGTCACTCCATAGACCCGGGTTTGATTCCTCACATGGGTAAAATGTGTGAAGCCCATTTCTGGTGTCCCCCGGCGTGATATTGCTGGAATATTGCTAAAAGCGGCGTAAAATCAAACTCACTCACTCATTTTTATGAGCAGCTCACAAACCATTTTCATGAAACTTCTTTGAGAGGCATATAAAGTTGGAGTGCTAAGGAAGTGTAAGAATATATGGATGAACAACTTAACATCTGTATTACGATTGGAGCAAGGTTTCGGTGTAGTACTGACATCGTTATCAAGGAAATGATATACAGAATATGGATATGAAAACTTTGAATACCGTTCAGGAGAATGTTGAACCAGAGACCATATAATATATCTTAAACAATGATGATGTTTCCTTAAGGCAACAACTTCAATTGAAAACATAGCATGTTTTTGCTGCCCAACTTTTCATATATTTTCATTTTCATTTTGTAAATGAATTATGCTAGAATAGACTGGTGCCTATGGTTTTCACAGAAATATGACATTTACAGTTGTATTCTTGTAAGTATGGCATGGAATGTGGATAAGTGTCTTGATGAAGATTTCATACAAGTCTTGGAGCCCATGTTTCTGTGATGTAATACAATTTGTTACCAGGATATCACCAATACAGAGGCTTCGGTCGACAAACATCATGGCAGACTGGGCGCTGTTGGAGAGGTGAGGAATGTGGTAACACTATACAGTAGAAAGAACTGCTTTCACAAATGTCCAAATATCATGACACGGAGTCCTTACAAAAAACTTTGTTTATGTGCAGTTGAAATGTCAGGGGCGGATACAGCTTTTTGAGAAAGGGGGAGTGCGCACTATTGAGAAAAGGAGGGGTGCACACTTCATTTTCACCCGAGTTTCAATGGTCATTTAACAAACATTCAGAGCAAAAGGGGGGGTGCGCACCCCTGCACCCGCCCTCTGGATCCGCCTATGAATGTGTACTTGTATCATGTGTATTGCTATGTGTCTGTCTTTAGTAACTTTAGTGCAAGAGTCTATAAAGCCACTTTTGGATTATATTCAGTTTGATATGATGTTTTGAGTACATGGCCATAATGGAAGAGTATTTTTGAGAGTGTAATTTATGGGGCAAATTTGATCTTACAACTTACAGTGTTCAACTTTCAGATTAATATCCAGTTATGTCAATTTCCTTCAGGTGGGGCTTGACTTTACTCCCCGATTCTGTGGAGAGGAGGGTGACAAAGAGATGCAGAAACTGGTGTTGGCTAGACAGGTGAGTAGGGGATGCTGCTGGCACTATCTGGACACTTGATTTGTTACCTTGGTAACATATCGGAGGATATTAGTGGTGTGACGATTCATCGATATGCATCGATCCATGGGCTGCCAATACAGTGAATCGATACAAAGTTTTACATTGTCGTATATCCCGATACGATACTTCAAATGGGCCACGATACATCGATGTTTAACTTTCAATATTGCCGAATCACGATATCTGTCAAGAAAAAAGACTTACTTTGTTGGATGATAAAACTATATGCTTACTTAATTTCCCTTCATAAGTAAACATTTTCTCGGAAATTCTTGCATCAAGAACTGCGTCAGACAGAGCTCTCGCATGTTATTAACATTCACAAACTCTGTTTATAAACATAATTATCTTGTTTCCGAATAGAAACATTGAAAAACGCTGGCGGAATTTGACGAAATACTTTAAAATGGTTTTGTTTTGATTTTAAGGTGTTTTATAGTTGGTGTTAGAATTAAAAATTTAATATCGTGATACATATCATATCGCCACGTTTGTATCGGGATTCATATCGTATCGCAGCCTCAGTGCACAATACTTTGGCAATATATCATCGTGACTAAAATGTTAGTATCCTGATGTATCGTATCGCAGGTTGTATGCCAATACCAGCACTAGAGGATATGAACTGTTCTTGTTTATCATTGTTTCCATCATGTTTTGTCAGATAATAAGATATGTATCATATGTCTTTTCAGGTGGAAATTGCTCAGAAGTATGATCTTCCGTTGTAAGTAATACAAGACAATAGCTTTCAGATTTCTGTAGAATGATACATGCCTCTGATTAATATTGCTGATTCTGAGAGAACTTACGAGATGGACAACAAGCTCTGAAAGAAACATTGCCAAAAGAAATATTGAAAATACAAACTATCTGTTCTTCACTTGTCCTTTAAATACATGATCATTTGTTTTCTCTGAATATATCACTTTCCAAATATGGAAGTTATTATTTTTTGTCTATTAAAATTTTACAATATTCAATATAGCTGAATTTGCTATGTTCTGAATTATTGTATCTGTTTTCAGAAATGTGCACTCAAGATCAGCTGGCAGACCAACCATAGCATTACTCAAGGAATTAGGTAGGTTTATGGTGTCCAAGTCTGTAATAGATAAACCAGCAGTTGATGGCATTAGACATAACCCTTGACATCATTGCATGAGGACATGTAATCACTTAATCACATCAAGGCTGTCATCCAACAGGTATTTTCAAATAGAAAACATATAGTATAACTGTTTGCTATGAACTTAGATATCCTGTTTGCAGAATTTGAGTACTGTAATCGTAGTTATTTTTCGCGTGGGATTAATTTTCGCGCTTTTAGCACAAAATGATTGTGCGTCAATAATCATACTAAGCGAAATATTCATGGTCAAGTCATGACCAATACTCAAGTAGGAACAACATGCAATTTGTTTATTCTCTCAGATAACAACATCCAAACAATATATAGAGGAATAGAGGCATATACTAGTAATAGTGATCACAATCAGCAAATGTTTGTTATCAGTTTGTCAGTTAATTGATAGCTGATTACATGTACTTGTAATCACAAAATGAACGAAGCCTACTTACATCAGTCACAAATCACAATGTTGACACAAGTATAATCCCACATCTCTCTGATTGTTTTAGTAAACACGATTCAATTATGGCGGCTAGCTTTGATCACTGCATGTCTATGGGTTGTGAAAACTTTGTGATGGATACATCACTCAGGCGTTTGAAATGCGCGAAAAAACTACTGAGTTAATAGGTCTTTAGTGAACTTTCCGCAAAAATTGCACCCCGTGAAAATATATACGATTACAGTATTTGACTGTGCTATAACGCAGACAGAATACCTTTGACAGTATTATATCTGGGAACAGTTGTTAGGATAATAGTCCCTACCTTTCATTCTTGCAAGTTTACCTTGATGTCCCGACAAATAACTCACTCTCTTCCCTCTGCGCTTTGGGCATGCACTAGTGTGTGGATTATAGCGCATAACAAATGGCCATTATTATTATTATTTATTAATAAATTCTCTTACACAATCATGGAAATAGTAGTTGTTGTATCTTTGGTTTGTTTTTTAGATAATATACAAAAATGAATGGTGATAAAGATTTAAACTTTATCCAAAGATTGTAGAATTTAGCAGCATTTTGCTCTTGAATAAGGGTTTTATTCTCATACTAATAATATATACTTGTACTTTCCAATCCTTCAAAGCAGTTGTATGGGAACACTAAGATTATGACAGCATCTGGGTCGGTCCTGAATTTAAGGGCAGTTCATAATCTTCTTCCAAGCACTTGAATAACTCACAGTATTATTTTATATCTCATTATGTGGTTCCTCAGTGACCGTAAAATACATGTATGTCTTGCATGATCAGGTGCCACTAAGGTGTTGATGCACGCGTTTGACGGGAAACCCTCAGTGGGCATGGAGGGGGTCAAGGCTGGCTTCTACTTCTCCGTTCCCCCCTCTGTGACTAGGACAGATGATGTGAGTCCAGAAACAAGTTATGAAGCTCTTTTATTAATTACTCATTCTTTATTACCCACATGTTTAAAAAGTGGGAAAAGTAATTGATCCATACATTCAGTGTTAATTTTGTTAGATAATGTCTCTGTCTGTTCTTGTGTATTTTTCATTGTCTTTTCACCACAATAAGAGCCCATCCTTGCCATAGGGTGTCAGTGATGATACACATCAAACTTAGGTCGAAATATAGTTGTGAAAAGTTTAACACACAACCACAATATTATATCCATTTGTGTTGTCAGAGAGAGAAGTTTGTGCGACAGATTCCCATAGAACACCTTCTCCTCGAGACAGATTCCCCTGCCCTGGCCCCTGTCAAACAGGTAACTGTGTATTTGTACATGGCAAGTTATGTGGGGAGGAAATTTTGGTTGAGGTCAGGATTATTTTTTTTAATGTTTAGGTGCTAAATTGTTTTTAAAAAAAATAAACATATTTTGGATTACACTTTAAATTGCCAGCACATTTCCATTTTTGTGAAAGCTGCAGTGGCTGAGTCTGATAGATGGCTGACTGTGTGCTGGTGATTTGGTACCTCACTCTGAGAGAGTGAGTTCAAATCCTGGATGGGGCACAACCCCAAAAGGTACTACTAGAATCTGTACTTAACAGAGAAAGTGTAATCCACAGGCGGATCCAGAGGGGGGGAGGGGGTGTGCACCCCCTCTTTTGTCCTGAAAGTTTATTAAATGACCATTGAAACTCTCGTGAAAATGAAGTGTGCACCCCTCCTTTCTCAATAGTGTGCACACCCCCCTTTCTCAAAAAGCTGTATCCGGCCCTGGTGTAATCCCACACATAACACATGTTAAATTTGACCTCTTTCTAAAAAGGTGTTGATATTGGTAAAGGTGTTGATATTGGTAACTTTGTCTTCTTGCGACGTCTTGAATGTGTTTTTACTCTTTGCATTGCAAAGACATATGAGAGTTGGTTTCTTGATGAGGGAGAATTATGTTTACATTCCATAGTGATACCAGCTGTCATCCTTTATTGGTATCCCTTTATAATACATCCAGACAGGGAATTCTGTACTAAAGCATTGTTCTCTTCATGTCAGACACGCAACAGCCCGTCCAATATTGTCCTGTCCTGTGAGTATATCGCTAAAGTAAAAAAGATGGACCCATCTGATGTGAGGAAGATTACAACACAGAATGCTGTTAAACTGTTTCCAAAACTTGCAAGCTTCCTTGTAAAAAGACTGTAAATAAATACATGTGAAAAATGATATTTAGTCCCTCTTCTGTCCTTAGTCTGTTGCTCTTTCAGGAATGCTGAGATTTCAATCATCATGGTGAGAGAATTGTATGGCTTATCCTTTCATTATCCCTTTCTCAGCCTGTAATCTATCAATGCAAGCATGTTGTTTGTATATATGATGTGAGTCCTAGGTCACAAATCAGTTGAAGTGAAGAATGTTGGTCTTGCATGGGTGACTGTCTGGCAGCTTCACTCCTGCAAGTTTCTAGGTCTTCAGTCCTGTCCCAAAACGAAGCTTGTATGACACATGTGGTTCACCTTAGGCAAGTGAGTTCGTTCAAAATTGCCTCTGATCACCCAGCAGTGAACGGGTACCCAGTGTGACAGGTCACATGACTATAATTATTATCATCACCACAGAGATCATTTTTATTCCCCTGAAATTAGAAGTTATTTCTATATTCTTCATGTATTCACTTGCATACCAAGACAACAAAAGCAAATTTGTGAAACAATCTTTATTGTTTACAGCTATGTGCACACAAAAGTGATTCAAAACAAGCATGTTTGTAAATGTATAGATCACTTGAAAAACAACAACTGAATAATACTGTTGGTCATGAGATTAAGAATGCATTATATTCCATGTACCCCATGCAAGTTTGTAAGCAAACCATTAATACTGATGCACAGCGATCAATCTGAAAGACTATATCGTATTTATATTCCCTAACATTGAATCAACAATTGACTATAGTCAGGACTTGATTGAATACTGATTGAACATGAAACAATAACAACATAATCAGCAGGCTGTGAATACTGTAGTATAATACTGTACTGATACACTGAAATACAGTGCCACTATTAGACTGTGGTCACTTCCTATAACCATCTTTACAGGTTTGCTTCAGGATAAAGACGTGCCTGTAATCACATGATTTGGAGACTCCCATTGACTTTAGGTTGCTGCTTTTTTCTAAATTATTAAATAATCTACAGTATTCTACCCATCTTGCAAAACACAATACATGTACACACAAAACCACACAAAACTAACCCCAGCAGACACATGCACAGAAACCAAACATCCAATCTCATTAACATCTGACCTAAATACTGGTTACGAATACACAAAGTCTTAAGTAGCCCCAGCAACCACTAGAGGTCAATTTGATGAACCTCACAACTGACTGTTGTGAAAAAAATCCCATTGTTTGTACAAATCTTAATATACATGTAATTATGATTAGACACTAACTCAACAGTCCATCAGCAAAACAGTTATAGCATTGAACGCATTTAGGAAAAGATTACCGGGTACATTAACAAAATATGTTCTTAATAATACTTTGCTGAAACGGTCTAGTACACAAAATGTTACCAATTACTTTTCAAATGGACATTCACACATTATGTACAAAAATATGTATGGATAAACCTAAAGACTGTATGATCATACATGGCTGGATAAAATCAAAGGCAACATATTCAAAATGTAAATAAACGCTATCAATTTATGAACACAGAATTATGCAACAGTATGAAGTTAAAATTAAGACCAAGTCTCAGTGTGGTTGATATTCATAAATTATGTATGAACATGTTATTGAAAAGAAACTTTTGATTTAGTGGTGATACACTGTTGTTTCTGTACATGCTTCATCGGAAAACAATAAACAACTTTAAGCTACCAAGTGTACCCTCATCGTTGAAAGAGAAACATGACTTGGGTGTTGAGGGATCTGTGGTTTGAATGTTACATATCACCTGGGCATATGTAAGAAATATTGTGTCAATTAACAGTTGAATAGGAACATTGTATATCTTACTTTTAGCTACATCATTCATTAACATGGTGTAAAAGAGAACATAGAGCACAGATTATCAGCATCTGTAGGAATTCCACAAAAACAAATAGTTGAAGCATAGTTCGGAGACATCAGGATACGAAAGATGAAATATTGATGCTGGATTTGCTTAAATCTTCAGCTGGCCATTGTCTGTAATATAAAACAAAACAGTACATGGTAATTTCTAAAAAAATATAAATAACAGACTGGGGTCCTGTCCGCTTATCTAGACTTGCCTCTTTCGAACCCACACCCCTCAGAGTCAAGCACCTAGTCGTGGTGTCTGGCCGCGTTAGGCAGCTCGCTTTGCACCCTGACTCTGGAGGTGTGGGTTCAAAACCCGGATGGGACTCAACCCAACAAAAGTACAAGAATCTGTACTTTAATAAGAAAGTGTAATCCCAAATATAACATATGTTACATTTGTCCACTTTCTAAATGGCATTATGTAATCATTTACGGGATCTCTGGTCAGTGAAGCACAGAGGTCAGTTCTGTTCTTCTGTTTTTTCAGACTGAGAACTAAACTCTACTGTAAAGTTCATGTTATCAGTGACATTGTCTGTCATTATAGTATCATGGGCCTATGCATCTTACTTAACAAAAGGGAAAGACTTAATTTCTTATTAGTTCACCAATTTCTAGATATAGAAATTCAAGTCACATAATATAGCATGCTAATCCTTATGTCTTCTCTGATACGACACATCCATACGACATAGCAAAGTATTATGGGAGCCTTATTATGATATTATGGCACCCTATGGCTCCATCTTGATTATTTCATTGTTTAATGAAAACCGTTTTAGATTAGAAACTCACATTGCTTTTTGAAATGGCGACGTTCTCTATGTGTCGGTGCGTCAACGCTGAACGTACATCTCGGCTCATATTCTGGAGCGTGTTCATCAAACACTGTGCTCGAAAATAATTCTTTGTTGTGTTTCCTCTCTTTGCGGCACCAGTCTTGCTCCTTTTTAAGTTCAACAGCACACCATGACTCTCGCTGTTCGCCCAAATCACGGGCTTCTCCGGGAGATAATTTTCGTCCACTTGCTGACATCTTGCAAATATGAGCTATGTCTAATCAGTACAGTGTTCGTGAATGATCACACACGACTTTTGTATAAACTTATGAGCCTGGCCACGACTTCCGATGCCGTGCGAGTTGTCATGGAGACAGCATATAGTTCGTTCACTTTGGAAGGAGAATCTGTAGGTTAACGTTCATACGACATTTTCGGATCCTTTTACACTTTTGTAGAATTGAAATCTCGACTAAACAAATGGAAGTTTGAAAAATTCTTTCAACTTTCGGCGTATGAATTTGAACAAGGGGCGTAACTCTCTCCAGACACTTGACTCGGCTTCCGTCTAACCGATGAATAAACTGGTTCCAATGTTGGTTCGCGCAGCATATGTGGCGCTTTACATTTCAGTTTTATACCGACAATAAAGTCGTTCAGTCCATCAAGTCAACATGAATAAACCTGGCTCGCTGAGCGAAGCAGTAGTGGAGCCAGTGTATCTTGAAATTGACAATCAATATGAGGGTCCGTTTTATTCCTTTTCTCATTCTTAACTATATGGGCTGTGGACAAATATGTGCTTGTGTCAATGTGTGTACCACAAATAGACTTGAAGATATTTTGGTGTTGAACATGCTAAACCTGAACTGCCAATATATCAGTTGTTGTTCTAAAAATTATGCCATCTCAGCCAAGTAACACTAAAGATCATGTTCCGAAAGTTCCCTAAAATTCCAGTTTTACAAAGCTCAAGGTATTGTATAGCTAAGATACATAGCGTTCACTGACATGAACGTTCATGTCAGTGAACGCTATGTATCTTAGCTAGGTATTGTAAATACAAACCTTTCGTGATGTCTGCTCATTGACCAAGACCTTCACCATGTTCCAATGCAAGGACATGACTTGTTGCAAATTTAGGTGGTGTTACAAATACGAAGTCTCATTGTAGCAACAATACTTTGTGAATGTAAGTATTTACATGGAATTGTGTACAATTGTTCGAGTTTTTCAGGAATTTAGTTCTTAAGCTTTGGACGTTAATATGAGAATGAGCATTCTATCAACTTTGATTTGCTGTCTGGTACATAATGCTGATGTTCATATCCAAATCTGTATGCCCCAAAATATACTTGAGTTTCGAAAATTTTGAAGTGAGGTGACATGGGGTATATCTCCTATATAATGACATTAGTATCTCCTTCATATCAACAATCGCAGGGAGCGCTGAATATTTGTGTTCTCATACATCGACAAACAGTTTCTGTTCCATAAGATCAAGAGTAGTGACTTTTCCCTGCAAGGCCAAATCATTTCGCTGCCATTCAACTGATTTCTGTTCCATACAAGGTCAGATGGTTTCACTGCCATTCAACCTATTTCTGTTCCATACAAGGTCAGATGGTTTCACTGCCATTCAACCTATTTCTGTTCCATACAAGGTCAGATGGTTTCACTGCCATTCAACCTATTTCTGTTCCATACAAGGCCAGATGGTTTCACTGCCATTCAACCTATTTCTGTTCCATACAAGGCCAGATGGTTTCACTGCCATTAAAGGTTCCATACAAGGTCAGATGGTTTCACTGCCATTCAACCTATTTCTGTTCCATACAAGGTCAGATGGTTTCACTGCCATTAAAGGGATTTCTGTTCCATACAAGGCCAGATGGTTTCACTGCCATTCAACCTATTTCTGTTCCATACAAGGCCAGATGGTTTCACTGCCATTCAACCTATTTCTGTTCCATACAAGGTCAGATGGTTTCACTGCCATTCAACCTATTTCTGTTCCATACAAGGTCAGATGGTTTCACTGCCATTCAACCTATTTCTGTTCCATACAAGGTCAGATGGTTTCACTGCCATTAAAGGGATTTCTGTTCCATACAAGGCCAGATGGTTTCACTGCATGAAATTTCTGTTCCATACAAGGCCAGATGGTTTCACTTTTTTCTGTTCCATACAGTACAGCTGGCCATCATGAAAAATTTTCTCTCCGCTTTCACAAAATACATGACACAAAAAGACATGTATTGTAAGATATTTCAATGTTTATTTACATTCCAGAGGCATTCATTAAAACTCAGGTAAGCATTTTACTAATCAAGCAAATAAATTTGTTCCATATAGCAAACAAAAGTACT